TCCAATGGGGGGCCTGCATGAGCGACTGCGCGAACTGCTGCTGCTGCTGCGGTGGGGGCGGCTGCGATAGCGACGCTTGTGGTTGCGCGGAAAACTGCTGCTGCTGCTGCTGCTCCATACCTGGGGCCATCGGCTTTGGCGACAGCTGCGGCTGCGGCTGCGGCTGCGCGGCTAGCAGCTGCTGCTGCTGTGACCGCTGGGGCGATCGTGTATCCACAGCAGTTCGCGCCTCTGAGACCTCCCGCGGCTCTCGCTCCGCCCGCGCATCCCACGGCGCGGGCTCCGCGCCTGCCCCCTGCTGAGCGCCCGCTGCTTGCGCACCCCCCGGAGAGGACGACTCCGCCTCTCCGCCTTTCTGCCGCCGAGCCTTAGAGAGATTCCGCTGGGAGTTGGATTGCGTGAGCGAGTCGCCTTTCTTGCCGAATAAGTTATTCCACCCCATGCCGGAAGATAATGGCGGTTGTTGAAAAACCGGTTTGGAAAAACCCGCGGAATGAAGGCCGATACTGCGAGAAGACTGCTAAAATGAAGCGAGTCGGAGACGCGAAGGGAGCAGGAGAGTGCCTGCTAAAAACGTTGCTAGAATGAAGTTAAGGTGTCCATTCTGTTGAGCGGCTGGGGCTTTAACTCCTAAGTTTTCAGGAAAACTCCTTCCATGTTCACAGGGATATTACTAACCTATATCAGGCGCTTCGCGGCGGCGTGTTTCGGGGAATCGCGACATGAGGTGAGAAGTCAGTGAAGAGGTGGAACGTCAGTCCTGAGGAATGGAGCTAGACCGCCGCGGAAAAGAGCAAACTTGATTCAGATAGTAAGAGCACCAAGCTTCAGGCACGGCGGCATTCTTATCGCCACGGTGATATCCAAGCACGGCCACCAACCACGCGAAAAGCGTTTTATGAGTGAAGCACCGCCAGCATCACTCGGCTATGCGGTGGATAAATCGACCCGCATCTCGTGCCCCATTATTGGCTTGTGGTGGCAGACAGGCCAGGAGCTAGCAAAACACTTCAGTACAGTGTTAGGGTGGAGTAGTGGTAGTTAGTTGGGCATTAGTGGTCCTGCACCAGCGTTGTTGGGTTTGGTTTGGTTTGGTGGGACGATTTGGCGAAGTGTGGCGAGACCACGATGTATCGCGGCAGCGCCGGCGAAGTCGGCGAAATCAAGGCGCTCAGTTCTGTTCTGCAGCCTGATCACGTGGCCAGCTTGCACTTGGGACTCACATGCTGCCGCCAAGTCCGACAGCACCAGACCAGAGAGCCACCCGTCACCCAACACCGCCTTCAGGCCACCTGGCTAAACGGTACAGGACGGTATACTAAAAACTCAATTTGTCTAACGATATGTGTCATTCTCCCAAACCAGATCAAGCATAGATCTTGACGAATAAAATCCATTCAAAATTCGCTTGGCATGTCATTGGTCACTACCACCCTTCCGTGCAGTCATCAAGATCCGGTGCAGCTCCTTGGCCTCTGCCAGGGCCCCTTTCTTGCACGCCATTTTTGCGATAGGAAACAGGGCTCCGTCATTCAGGAGCACTGCGGGCGCCACAACCCCTGTGGTAACCAGGTGGTGCAATGTCCAGAGCGCCTCCTCCCGTGCCCTCTCAGACTCGCTCTCCAGCACATCCGATATCACAAGGGTCCCTTCAACTGCTAAAAGTGCCTCTTGCCCGCCACGTGTCCTTGCAAGATTGGCCAGAACAGCCATGGCTTTCTCCTCAACCCCTGGCCTCTTATCCCCCAGGAGGTCCACCAGAATGCTTACAGCCCCTTCCCTCACCATCTCATTCGCACACGACAGGTCCTGCGAGAGGGAAAATAGGGCAAGTCCCGCATCCTTCCTGCACCTCGCAGTCTCATTCGTGAGCAGGCGAACGAGGGGGGGGATGGCCCCTGCAGCTTGAATCTTAGCCTTGTGGATGTTCCGGTTGTGGCCAGTCCCGTTCTCCGATCCCTCCATCACATCATCCCACGAGGCCAGGGCAAACAGTGCCGCAGCTGCATTCCCCTTCACCATACCCGATACGCCCAATCCCACCCCTGCTGACGCTCCTGCTCCCACCCCCGCGTCTTCTCTGGAAACTGCCCCATCATGCGAGAGCACGTCAACGAGGGACGGCACGCCGCCCACATCAATGAACTCCGCTGCCCCATCCCGCGACTGGCACAGCTGAAGCACCACCGCCACCACACAGTCCACCACCAGCCCAGGGTCCATCACTCCTCGCCCCCGCCCCTCCCGCCCTGCCGCCCTCCCTCCGCCCCCCCCCATGGCCGCAACTGCTTCGTCGAGGAAGTCTAGGAGGACGGGCACGCCGTCCTCGCGCTCCAGCAGCCGCTGCCTGTTCTCACAGCTCTCCTTCACCGCCGCTCTCAGCTGCACCACTGCCTCCACCCGCTGCTCCGCTGACCCTCGATCCATCGCCTCCACCATCCCATCAACGGTCGTGATTGCACGTGGTGGCGGCGTCAGCGCCCCCTGCTGCTGCCCAATCGGCCCATGCTGCATCAGCTGGTGAACCTGAGAGGACAAGGGGGAGAGAGCGGGGCTCCGTCCGCCACTGGCACCTGTTCCTTTAGACAGCCTGTGCTTGGGCGAGCCTACACTAGCAGGCCCTCCCCTCGCAAGCCCTGAAGCCACTCCTGCTAAACCCAAGGTTCCCCGTCCCGACCCCTGACCCGCCCCTGACACACCTCCCACACTCGCTTCCCCTGCCCCTGCCGCCCCTGCCGCTGCCCCGCCGCTACCTGTCCTGCTGTGGGCCCCACTCGCCCCTTCTTGGGAACACCTCCGCCCACCAATTCCCCCCTCCCGCGCCGAAACCCTAACGCCACCCCCTGATGGGCTTTTCGCTGCGCGTGGCGGCAGTTGCGGGGAGGACACACCGTCAGGGATCACCAGAGGATTCGACGGCTGGCCCGAGGCTTGTAACGGGGATAGCAAGTGCTGGCGCTGTCTGCGAGCTGCAAGCGAACTGACCCCGCGTGGGGACAGGCGCTGCGGGTCCAGAGCCTGCTGCAGCTCGCGGCCCTGCTGTGGCGACATTGCGCGATCGTACACAGCTGCGCCCGCCACAACGGACGGGTCCAGGCGGCCGGCAGCCAGGGGGTCGTTGCTGCCGTCCCAGCTCATGGTGCGGCGGCGATCCGGGCGCAGATGCGCCGCCGCAGTGGGCCCTTTCCGCATCGGCTTCGCCCCGCCGACCGGCGTGGTCAACGCGCGCTCTACGCCGTGACTGCCAGGGTCTAGTCGTACTGCCCCTACGGCCGCCGCGTTAGAGGCCAATAACCCCGAAGCCTGCGCCGGTGTAAGCCCTACGCCGTCTAAACTCGAGCGCGGGCCCGGATGCGCGCCGGATCCTCCCCAAGGGCCCTCGTGTGCCCCATCGGCGGACGAGCCCCCCCCGTTCATTCTCGGCGGTCGCTGAAACTCCTGGCTGCGCCGCTGCGGTCGAGTATCAGCTTCGCGAGCGGGAGCTTCCCGCTCCCGCGCGGACAGCGCGGAGAGGGTCTTCCGCCTGTTACACGCCGCCGCCTCGTTTGCGCCGCTGCTCCCCGCGCCATTCTCGCCGTTCTGCCCCCCGTCCACGCTGACCGCGCGGAACATGTGGCTCCCAAAGAACGCGGAATCAGCGGCGGAGCGAGTCCTGCGATGGCCCTTCACTTGAGTCGGCGAACCGGCCCGATCTTGAGATAAAGAGAGCACGTGTCGGACATCCTGGTTGCTGGGCCGGCTGTCGACCCGTTTCTGACCTGAAGATAGTTGGACGTTGTGCTTGGAGCACCACTCCATGATTAAGGCCTTCAGCGCGACGTTTGGGAAATAATCGGTGTGGCGAACTTTCGTTCCTGACCGCGGGCAGTTCACGTGACCTGCGTCGAACCAGGCTTGGATAACTCCCGTTCGTACGTCAATCCAGAGGCGATAATCACGGGCTCCGCCATAACGCGATCCGATAAAGGGCAGATGAACTCGAGAGGGACTTCAAAATCGGCATCTTCCCCTCGAGACATCTTGGCGTGGTAATGCCAGAACCGAATTACCGAAGACAACGAGCGCGCAAGTGGAGTTCTCTATGGCAGCGTGAGTCCCTAGTGCGAATCATCCATGAATTAGCTTGACTAACGAGAAGACACACCTTAGTTGATGGCTCAAAAGTTCGCCCTGCACTTGGTCGCGAAGCTAGGATCTGGTAATTTCTACTTCGGGCAAAGGAGTCAGACTGGCAACGGAGAAGAGATGAGTGGAGAAGCGTGGATAGCTAGAGAGTTGGCCTAGGAGGCAAATCTTGAGAACCATATTGCGGAGGGAGGAAGCGAGGAGCCCTGTAATTGGAGACAGGGGGGGTGGGTGGGGTGACAGATCATCCCAAGGGTGCAGGAAGACCCAAGGTAACCCGGCTGGCGACATGGAGATGAAGGTAACCATGGTGACCTGCTTGTAAACGAAGTCTCACGAAATCTATCAATTTCTGGGGGCAGAACATTTCAAGCTTTGAGAGTGGCACGAAGTGACAACATTCGCTGAAGCTTTTGCTCAACCGTTGTGATATTCAGCTGGCAAAACCAGAGGTTCGAGCGACGACGAACCTCGAGATTGGGCCCGCGGCAGGCCTGCCGCACCCGACATTCATATCGCGGAGGTCATGGAGCAGAGTGCGACGAACCTGGGGATTGGGTAGGGGGCAAGCGCGCGTTTACAGTGCAGAACATTCATTTCGCGGGAGGCGCGCCAGGCATCCGCCTGCCAGGTCAGACAGCTCCCGCCCGCCCGAACCCCCTTGCGCCAGTTGGTGGGTGTTGTCTGCTAGGCTGTTCTGTACAGTGCATTCTTCGTTTGTGGTACAGAATTTCCTAGATCAGTGTACTTGAGTGCATACGCCAATTTCATTCAGGCTACATGCAGTAGTCCTAATGAGCAGGGGGCGTTGGTGCAAGCGTTGTGCTTGTCTTTTCTCCCATAATCTCCCTTCCCCAAAACGGTACCATTGGTCCAATCCTAGCTGGAGGTCTGTGGATTCCATGGCAGAACAAACTAATTTATTATCAGAACATGTAAGGACAGATGCCGCTTGCGCATGCGCACGCACATGCCAATCATCCATATATTTTTGTGTCATGCGTTGTCGCCTCCTCACCTGAGCTGGTCACCTTAGAATACCCTCACAGCTCTTACCAAAGCAGCTCTTACTTCAGTTGCTGGGTAGATCCGTTCCGTTTAAACATTCAGTGGGAGCGCCACGTCGGCAGAAATGTACAAGCCACGTGGCAAAGCGAACAAGGCGAAGCATCTCCACCACTCCGACGGCGCGAGGGGATGGCCGCCGGAAGAGCCCGCGGCGTCCGCCGCCGGTCACTCCAGCGGAGATTGGAGCGGAACTGCGGAGGCCATGCGCGGAGACGCGCGCGTGGCGGAAGCTGTAGGCGGAATGGCGGTGGGCGGAATGGCCGCGGGCGGAATGCCGGTGAGCAGCCCGGACGTTGTGGGGAAGAGCTGCTTCAACTGGCGCGGCGTGTTCCACAAGGACCACGGCGCGCGCGTGCTTAAACTGGAAGGCGGCGGTGTGGCGGAGGTGCTTGTAGTGGATGCTGGGTGTAGAGACGACGAGGTGAGAATGCATCATGAGTATTCTGGGGCGGGTTTTAGCGGCGGGCAAGCGGACACAGCGATGGCAGGTGCGTTTGAAGACGAGGAGGCGCGAGAGGGATGCACTAATGGCAGCGATAGGGTTGGTGCGAGAGGTGAAAGCATGGCGGGGGTGGGGAGCGAGCAGGAGAGGGCGGTCGCAGCGGAGCGAGGTGGTGTCATTGGCGCTGCTGCTGCTGCTGCTGCTCCTGCTGGGCCACATGGTGCGGATTCCACGTCAGCACTACTGGCCGTTTCAACTGGAGGAACGCATGACCTCTCTGTGCGTACAGATGACACGGTTTCATCTGCCGCGGCGACTGTTGGCAGCGTTTCATCTGCCCGACTGAGCATAGACGGCGTTTTATCCAGGCGTGTGGCCGGGCGGACGGAGCAGGCACGGTGGAAGCAGTATTGGAGTCAAGCGGTGGTGGGCGGCGGGGGGAGGAAGGGAGCACTGTGAATGGCACCAGTGGGTCTCCTGCCCTCCTCACCACCGCATGTCACCTTCTCCATGTGACCTCCGGACCAACTCTAACTACGCTCCACACGCCTCCTCCCTCCCTCACACCTTCCTCCCTCACTCGCCCTCCCAACGCTCCCTCACTCCCTACGCACCAGAAACAACCACTTCCTCTTCCTCCTCTCCCCCCGGCCGCTCCTCCTCCCCACTCCCTTCCCCCGCAGCTGCACTCTCTGCTGCCTCTGCCCCCCATACCTCGCCCTTGGACCCCCCTCCTACCATCTCCCCGTCCCTCCCCAACCCTTCCGCCCCCCAACCATCCGCCCCTGATGCGTCCGCCCCCTCCGCCCCCCCACCTCGCCCCCACACCGCCGCAGCATCCTCCCTCCCCCGCCCGTCCCCTGCCCTTCCCCCCACCCCCGCCAGCCGCGGCAGCAGCAGGGGGGCGCGGGGGGGCGTTAGCAGGGAGGGGCGTTCGGGGACGGGGGGAGGGGGCAGCAGGGGGGGGTCGAGTGGGGGCTTCCATGCACGCAAGCTCTCCACGGACGACAGCTTCCTGGGGCTCTCGTCCCTCAGCCCCTTGGACGCCTCCGCTTGCACCGCCAGGACTCCCCGCCTCTCGCCCTGCCTGCCCGCTGCTGCTGCTGCTCTTGGCGGCAGCAGTAGTGCAGCAGGCGGTGGTGGTGCTGCTGCTCCTGCTGCTGCCCCTTTGGACAGCACGGCCAGTATCACAGGCCCACTTGCTCCAGCGTCACACCCCCTGCTGCCGCCAGTCACCACACCCACAACCACCCACCTCCCTCCTCCCTACCCCACCACCCCCCTCACTCTCGCGTCCCCATCAGGCCTCCTCGGCCACTCAGACACTGCCACGTCACCCAGCATCATCCACAAGTCACCCTCCACCCCGTCCGTATCCACAGACGATGAGCTGGCGCCGCTGCCCGGCCTTGGGATTGCCGGCGCAGGGGTGAGGGGAGGGATGGGGGGGGGCGTGATAGGGGGAATAATGGTGGGGGGGATGGTGGGGGGAGTACCAGCAGAGGGGGGAGCCGTGGGGGAGGGTGAGGGCATGGGGGGGGGGATGGGGGGGGATGGGGGGATGGGGGGATGGGGGGATGGGGGGATGGGGGGGATGGGGGTGTATGGGGGGGCGGAGCTGCGCAGGAACGAGAGTGTGGGCAGCAGCAGCGGCTCTGTTATGACGGTGCCGGACGACCTTGCGGGCCTGCAGCGCCCGGGCACTCTCAAGACGTGGAAGTCCGTGCACTCGCACTCGCACCGCTCCAAGCTCGCCAGAGGGCTGCTCTTTGGCGGTGGTGAGCCACACCACGGAATTTCTCCTGCTGTTATGCTGTGTTTAACTAAAAATGGCCAGCATAGCTGTCGTCTCCCTTGCAAAGCGTAGGGGCATCATGTCTAACTGAAAGTCCACTATCTGCCTGCTCTCTCTCTCTATCCCCCCGCCCTGCACCACAACCATGACAGCAGCAGGAGAGGGGTGGGAGGAGGGAGTGCTGAGCCCACGGGGGTCGGCGTTCATGGCAGCTGCCAGGCGGAGAGGGCTGTGGCGCCGCACCGTCACACCCAAGGAGTGTGAGTGCCGTGGGTGCCAAGCCAAGGCGTGTGAGTGCCGTGGGTGCCAAGGCGTGTGAGTGAATGCAGGCTGGGCGGTGGAGCCACGGCTGTGTGCATTCATCTCGTGCTCTGTGCATTCATCTCGTGCTCTGTGCATTCATCTCGTGCTCTGTGCGTACTCGCTGTCTTTCGGTGCACTCATCGCTGCCCTCGTCTCTCTTCCTCTCGTGTGTACTGCCCTTTCGCTCAAAGCCCTCTCCTCCTTCCCACCCCTGTCCTCTCCAAATGCACCTGCTCCGTTCCCCACCCCCAGCTGTGAAGCGCCTGCTCATGTGGCCCCAGGCGGGTTCCCAGGTGTCCCGCTGTGCCCCAGGTGATTCCTCTGCTGAAAACTCCTGGTCACCCGTGGACCCTGCATCCTTTGACGTGCGCGGAGAAACTTTCTTATCTGACCGGCGCAAGGTGCCCGCCAGCCCGCCGGCCATCTACGAGCCATGGGGCGTGGATGTGTTTCACACACCGCTCAAGATCCGCCACGTGGCAGAGCATGTGGAGCTGCCTGCGAGCCTCTTTGAGGGGGGCGGTGGGGGAGAAAGTGGGGAGGTGCGGGGGGAGGAGATGGAGGGGGGAGAAGGGGGGCAGGGAGAGGGGGATGGGTGCATGGATGGGGTGTGTGAGGAGGTGTATGGGGTGGGAGAGGTGGGAGAAGAGGGAGTGCTGCCTGGAGTGCTGGTGGTGAACCTGCAGGTACCGCTCTACACCGTTCTGCCGCTGCTGCAGCAGGAGCAGGACGGGGAGGGCATCAGCCTGGTGCTCTATTTCAAGCTCAGTGCGGCCTTTTCTCAGGGCCTTCCTCCCTGCCTCGCTCCCATGCTGGAGGTGAGAGCAGTCGCGTGCAATAGCCTTGACTTTTAGTCAAGTGAGTAGCTTGTTGTTTCTTTCCGCAAGCCGACCTTTCAATTCCATCGTTGCCTGCCCCCCCCTCCTCCTGCCCGACCCTTCACCCGCACCTTACAACTCCCATCACTCTCATTTCCCCCCCGTTCCCCGTTCCCCCGTTCCCCCGTTCCCCCGTTCCCCCATTCCCCGTTCCCCTGTTCCCATGGTCCCCTGTCGCCCTGTTCCCCTGCCCCCCGTCTCCCTTTGCACCCACAGCCTCTGTGCCAGCCACCAGCTGAACCTCTCTCTCCTCTCTCCTACCCTCAAGCCGAGCACAGAGGCACAGGAACCAGTGGGCCGCCGGACACAGACACTGCAAGGGGCAGTGCACGAGAGAGCAGTGCAGCTGTAGCGGCTGTAGCAGGGTCTGGCATGAGCTACAGTGCCGCAGATGCAGACCACTCTCGCACTGCCAGCAAGGGGAGTGGCGCGGGTAGTGGCAGCAGCACGGGTGCCGGTGCGAGGGGGAGGGCGGCCGGGGCGAGTGAGTCGGGGCGCAAGGAGTCGCCGAACGCGTTCAAGTGGGATCGGCCGAAGCTGCTGGCTCGAGTGGTGAACGAGGCGGGCATGGGGCTGGGGTCCAGCTCCAAGAAGGCGGTGCAGAGCTGGAGCGGGCAACCCATCCTCACCCGCTCGCACCACTCCCTCATTCGAGTGAGTGAGCCGATTCTTGCTGCTCCTCTTCGAACTTGTTGGGCTCTCTACTATCCTCTTGGTCTCGTTTCAGCAAGTCCGATGCTTACGGAGTGTGGGCTTGTGTTCTTCCCTCAATGCCCTACGTTGCCCATTCTAGGGCGAGAGCAAGCCGTATGTGGAGATGGACATAGACGTGCACCGGTTCCCCAATCAGGTCAAGAGGGGCCTCCTCCCTCTTCGGCGCCATCTGTCCTCCTGTGTCTTCGACATTGCCATCATCCTTCAGGTACGCTGCACCGCACTCAGTTGGCTCAACCAATAATCTTGTCCTTTTCCCACTTGATGTTGATGATCGGCCAGAAAGAATGGGATTCTGTAAGGGCATGTACTCATGTGCTCTCCTCTTTTGGTGCCTTTGATTTGTGTGATGTGAAACAGGGTGTGAGCCCAGAGGAGTTCCCCGAGCCGATCCTTGCGTGCGTCCGTCTGCATCGACTTGATTTGTCCCAGTTTGGATCATTAGGGTCAGGGTTGTGATCTATGTGAAGTTATTTTGCACCAGACTGTAGCTAGTGTTTTTTCCTCGTAAAATATTTTCCATGTCCTTGTCATTTTAATTCATCATTTTTACGTGCAACGGAGGCGTTTCTTTGCGCGAATATCGAGAATGATTGGGCATTGACAGGTCAGCCCCATCAACCAACTTTCCCCCCGATTTAGTACAGCTGCAGTGGGATGGCGCGCGGCGCAGATTGCGGCTCCAGCGAATGCATCCGCTACAGAATCAGCAGAGCATACATCTTCACACTTCACCGCATAGCACCTTGCTAAAACGCACTTCACCCTGGGAAACCAGGCCAAGCGGCGCCCTGCTACTGCAAAGCCATGCCATGGCATGCCATGGCCCGACTACAGTACATCAGCCAGCCAGGGGCAGAAGCGGAAGGCGGGAAACTGCCGTGCTTCGCTGGGCGGCACCCAGCGTTTCACCAACCTGACGAAGCCACGCCAACCTACCTTGGGACGAACCGGGTCGCATTAAAGGCGTATTAGAGGCGGCCGTGTGGTAGAGTTGTGCTACGGAAGCGCGCCAGCGTGAAAGGTCACATTGCAGGAGTTTATCCTAATAGTTCATGCTCCTGCACACGTAGCTTTCGACTCTCCTTTTCCCCTTTCCAGCATCTCCGTTCGAATGGCGCTGCTGCCAGTATTCCCTAGCCGCCGATTGTTCGCGCGGCATTCCCAAGGAGCGCATACGGGGATGCAGGCGCAAGCTGGGGAGGAAGCGGAGGAAGAGGGGGAGAGAGGGGACGAGAATGCGCGGGATAGACGGTTCGGATTCACGGGACTCGCTACTATCGAGGACGTGGTCGATGAGCTGGGCAGCGAATGGGAGGACGACACGTCAGTAGAGGAATTCGAGGTCGAGAGGCCCACTCGCACTCCCTTGGTGGTCCCGACGACAGGCAAAGCGCGCACTGTGGGAGAAAGCAGAGGCGCACCCCAAAGTAGACCCCAAAATAGATCCCAAAGTAGACTCCAGTGTAGATCCAGCCACGGCGCAACGATGGCCCGTCGCTGGCGGCCGTTCTCCCCGTCACCGTGCGTTTGCCCGCCCATCTGCGCGTCCTTCCACCCCATCTTCTTCCGCGACCTCCGCCTCCCCGCTTACTCCGTCATCTCCACTCCCCCTTCCCCCGCTCCGCCTTCCCCCGCGCCGTCGTTCCTCTCCTCAACCTCCTCCGCCACTTCCGCCACCTCCGCGCCCATTCTCCGCCACAGGTCCGCGCATTCCCCCCCCGGCTCTTCCTCCTGTAGCACTTCCACCTGCGCCTCCCCGGTCTCCTCCGCTGCCCCCATCCGCCATCCCCCCCACGCGGGCCTGGCGCCGCTCCCCCGCCAGGTGGACTGCCGCCAGGTCCACTCCCCCTGGCGCGCGCTGCTCTTTAGGATCTGCGGCTTCCAATCTGCGCTGCTGCAGCGGCGGCAGCACGTCTTCATCATGCGCCACGCGGAACGGTTAGACACAGTAGACCCGAGATGGGCGCAAAGGGAGCCCAATAGCCGGCCTTGGGACCCGCCGCTGTCGGAGTGGGGGCGGTACCAGGCGTACCAAGTGGGAGTGAGACTGCGGAAAGAGGGGTGGGGCGTGACCAGGATAGTGTGTGCGCCGTACGTGCGGTGCGTGGAGACAGCGGCGGAGGTGATAGGCGCCATGAGCAGCACGCCTGACATGGACTATGCGCCCTCGGGCCCTGCGTATGGCGGCTCGTCGTCGCCCTGCCTGCCGCTGCCGTGCCTGGGGAGGGTTGGGGCGGCGGGGTGCAGAACGGTGGGGGTGCAGCGCCACATGATCCAGGCGATGCAGGTGAGAGGATTGTGAGGAAGAAGGGTGTGGAGGGGGGGGGAGGGGGGGGGGGGGAGTAGGTTGTTGGGAGAAGCGCTTGTGCTTAACGTTTGGCAGAAACCTCTTTGTCTCACCTCTATCTAGTCTCTTGGACGTTTTTTCGCTCATCTCCCACACATCCCCCCTGTGACATCCGTTGCTACAACCAGCAGCGGCCCCTGACGCCTGCCCAGGCACTGCAGCACCGCAAGCGGAAGCACGCCAGCAGAGACAAGGCCTCCTCACTCTCCGGTTCGTACCACGACCCCGTTGGGCCAAGGACCCAGGAACCAGTGCCAACAGCACACACGTGGCAGGCAGGCATGCCAGTGCCCCTGTCCCTCGTGCGTGCCTGCATCGACTACTCTCTCTGTGAGGTGGTCCCGCCCGGCACGGCACGGCCACGTTTGTCTCATGTGCTGGCAGGGCGGGCGGCGCTGGAGGCATTGCTGCCTGCAGAGTGTGTGGAGAGGGTTGGGTGGGCAGTGACAGGCGGAGCGGACTTGAGAGTTCCAAGGGGACCGGAGGAAGTGGAGAAGGCAGCAATGAGACTGGTGACAGCTATGGACCGAATCGCAGAGCAGGTATGGGAGGCCATATGAAGTTTGTTCAAAGCATTTGAGTAGCATGACGAGCAGATGATCAAATGTTGTGCTGAGCATTATGGTCATTTAACTTAGGCTTCTGCGCTACGCTATTTTTCTCGCTTCTGCAGTGGCCAGAAGAGAACATAATTCTCATCACGCATGCAGAGGCGCTTCATGCATCTGTGCTTCGATGCTTAAAAAAGGTAAGTCTAAAATTCCCTCGCCCAGCTTCCATGTCTGTTCAGATGCTAATTCGCCCTGCTTATTCAACTTCACATCATGCCTCCCTCCGCTTGCATGTTGTCTTGCAGGCCAATGTGTACAATATACTTATGGCGGCAGTTGTTCATTTACAACGTAATGTGTATCGAGATCGAGAGGACGAGGACGAGAGGGGCATCAGCGAGTGGCAGCTTGCCACAAGCTCTGGAATGTCTGGAGTCTACTTTACATAGTTTGGGCAGTGTAATGTTGCGCACAAGTGTGACAGCATATTGGGCAATGCTTGTTCCTCATCTCATATCATGTTATGGATGCAAATACCTAGCAGTGCATACACACGCACATGCCAGCAGGCCTGACATTGTACAGCCTTCTACAACTTGCTCTAAACAGTCAGATAATTTGAACTGCCAGATCTTACAGATTGCTGGCCTGTATTGGGAGGGCATAACATCTAGGAAGAAAAACTCTACTAGAGAAACAACTTCGACAAGGATTACTCCAGTAAGGGTTTGCCTACAAACCCGTTCATCATGGCTCACAAGTCGTAGGCAATGCTCCAGTGCACGCGCTTACCACCACTCTCCCGTAGCTCAGCATTTAAGGTCCAGTTGTTCTCCCCGCAGCTGCAGGTAAGGCTTTCTCGCAACGACGTTATACCCAGCTTCACCTTCAGATCCTGATCCTCTGTGAAATTGAACACCTTCTGGCTAAGCTCAACTGAAGCTTTCGGCTTCCCGGACTGGGTGTGAGGCTGGTAGTTGTAAGCGCCCTTGAGATCGAGACACAGAAGACCGTTGTCTGTAAGCTCCCAGGTCTTCTTCCCCTGAATACTGTAAGTCACTTCTCGCGACTCAACGTCCACTTTAGCACCCACATCAATGCTTGTCAGGACCTCCGGGAAGAATTTCTTTTTCAGCTGGATCAGGCAGCTGGGCTTGCCAGTCTGCGTGTTCAGCTTCGCATGGACCTGAAGCGCGATGTTGCCGTCACTCACAAAATTCTCCTTCGCGTGCATGACCAAGCTCCGGTCTTCCGCGTTAAGTCGTAGGGAAGTCTCCATGATTCTGCTCGAAGATCGGTCCTGATAAGTCGCCGAAGCTACACTGAAGCACCTGCAAGCAATCCGCAAACGATTGTCGCAGAAACCGATAGGAGGGAGGGATAGCGAACGATTTATTTGAACGCACCAGGAGCCTATTTGAAAGGAGATTGATAATGCAGCTTAAGGTCATGCGCGACTACCGTGGAAATCAAAATGATCGTTTCAACACAACCCAAAGGGAAGCATCTGATGCATAACATAATATCGGAAAAAAAACTAAGTAACGGCTAGCCAACACGGACTCACGGGAAGGGTTAAACTTGACCGAAAGAAACGCTTGAACTTCGGCGCGTGATGGACGGCACTACCGGTTAGCTGATTGGCCAGAGAAGCCCTAGCAGATAAGAACAGATCAGAACAGGGAAGCTGATCAGGGAAGGGGGAGATGGCCAGCTGGTCTCTGCGGGAAGGACGCAGGTTGTGAGAAGAGGAGGATCAGCAGGAATGTCCCAGAACGTGCGATGGCGAAAGAAAGTTCCCATCGAGTTACAGCATTTCACGACTCCACGGGCGAACATTTTCCTCTCTCTCGCCATTCACGTACGCACCCCAGTCTTTCGCTTGCACGAAGACTTGCGGAGAATCGCCAATGGTACCCCCCACCACGTCGGCGAGCACCACCGAGATTGTGCGTGGTTTCCAGTCTCCCTCCACTCGCAAACTCGCATCTCAACTCTCGAGTCGGTCCCGATCTGACACTCCCGATGCTCCTCCCAACCAAATATCCACCTCTCAAAATTTGCGAGGAATAAATTCTGGGAATGCTAGTACCCACGCGCTTGTAGTTCATGATTCCTAACGCCATTCATTCCTTTGCGTCCGGCTGCGATGCTACGAGCTGCCATTCACCGCCAGACACTCCACATTCCACCAGATCCCCGCTCGCTGGAGCACACTCCCATACACGTCCATATTCCGCAAACTTTTTCCGCGAGGCCACGAAGGAGAATCTTCTGTCAAACACGCGATGACAGCACGAAGCACAGAAGCAGCACAATCAACTTCCCTCACAGCCATTTAAATTCTCTGAGTAAAAGCCATGATCCAACCCCCAGCGAGGAGGCACTGTTCGCGCGGATATCAGTGACACCGCCTGCGCCGGTCGCAACTCCGTCCCTCTCGGGCATCCATCTCATCGTCCCCAGCATCGTCGCCGCCACCATAGCTGGCGGTGTCACCTTCTCCCTCCTCTCCCTGCACGCCAGCCTTCTCCGTGCCTCTCTCCGCTCTCCTCGCCGTCGCCTTTTATCCCATCTCCACTCTGCTCACTCTGCTTCCACCATCACCATCACCATCAGCGTCGGCATCGTCGTCCGACGAGTCGTCGCCATCAGCCCCTTCCAGCGCCCCATCCGCCGTTCGCACTCCCCAGAATGGGTCCCTCGTCGCGTACACCAAGCAGGTGAGCCTCCATTGACGCCGTTCCGGACATGGCGAGTCAGAAGCCTAATGACTAAGAGCATTAGAAGACACATTGCTCTATCGTTCACATTGCTTCCTCTGGGCATCACAATGCATATGGCCGTGCATTCAACCCACGCCGTTTTCCTCCGTCTGTGCTTCTCGCCTGCTCGTCCGCCAGGCGGCACCAGCGGCGCTGGCGACGATGGCGTGACGTTCCCCCAACGCCATGCAGGAAGACACCTTCATCCACCGCTCTCGCCCAGGAGCTCGCCAACCTGGGCTTTAAGAGGTACAAGTCACTTTAAAACCCGCGTGCCAAGTAGTTCAATGGTAGGAAGGTTGGTTGGATAGGAGGACGGCATTGGTTGTCGAGTAGTTCTCCCTAGGGACCTCTCGACCAAAGGTAGGAAGCCTTGAGGCAATTTTGGGACATTTGGTACGCGGGATTTTAAATGTGGTCTTTGCGTAATCTCCTTATCGGAGCCAATGCGTGTGCTAAGTCTCTCTTGATCTGCAATGCCCCTCACACACGCCAGGCACAACTGGCATTGCGGCTAGTGAACACGTGTCGGGACGAGGTGTGCCGGCCGATAGTGAAGCTGATTGACCGCGAGTTCGGGCTGTCGTTCAACATTGGCGGGCTGGGCGGGCTCGTCAACTGCGGCACCACGGGCTTCAAGGCCGCCATGTCACACTCGCCTGAGTTCCCCTGCGAGATCAACGGTGGCCCACCGTGCCGAGAGATGTAAGCCGGATGCCTGCCTGCTGTGGCTTGTGCATTCTCTTGCATCCTTGCCAACTGCTGCATAGCATGCACTAGTGTACCGCGGCACGATGATGTGTTCTACATTGCTCACCTCCCGCAACCTCCCCGCCAGACATCTTCTTTGGCTTTCCGCACGTGTCGGTGGGGGAGTCGGGCCAGGTAGGGTCGCTGCTGAGGCGAGGCCGGGGGCAAGCCGTCCAGTGCGTGTGGGGCGCTGATAGCCATCAAGAACGACATCTCAAGGGGAGGGCCGGTGCAGGACGATGCGGACGACCTGGAGTACGTGCTGCTCAAGAGGAAAATCGCTGCTCGGGTATGTATGGGGGGTTTGGTGATGACGGGCATTGTCATCTAAGGTTTTGACTATATGAGCAGCCCACGACCCTTGCAGGCTCATCCGTATTACTTCAAATCCACCCCCACATTTCACACCTGAACCCTCCTCCCTCTCCCCCAATGTTGCTGCCACCTGTCTCTTTTGTCCCTGCCTCCTTCCTGGTGTCTCCTGCCACTGCAGGTGCACTCCTCTGCTGCGGATGGTCCGTCGCTGGTGCGAGTGACCAAGGCAGCGTGGAGGCAATCACAGAGGACATAGAGAGGCTAGTGGGGCGCACAGTGGACCCCAAGACAGCAGACTATGCTGTCATCACTGGCGTGCAGATACACTCCGGCTTTCAGGTGCAGTGCCCATGGAGCTTGCATGCCACCGGAATTCTTTTGCCTTGGTCTCCTCCCTTTTTTTTCTTACCCTCTCTTTTGTTACTTCTGCTGCCTTGCTCGCTTTGCCTACTTCGTTCAGATTCCAGGAGAGCCATTTCAATTGGAGCGCACATGTGATTACATTGCACCGAGTGCCATGTATGCAGTGGTTCGTGGGAAGAAGCATGTTTTACATTGCGAGGTGAACCAAATCACAGACATCACATCAGTACTAGCAAGACACATTATAGACTAGGTAAGATGGACAGTAATACCTCTTAGTGAGTTATGCGGTGGGATAATCTTGTGTTGTAGACATATATTTACTAATGAGCCTAACAATGATGTCAGTGTTGTCATCGAGCCTTCACCCCCTTGAAATGTCCACCCCTGCATTCACGCTATCCGAGGATGAACCAGACGAGCTGCTTTGCGGCACACTCTCGCCGCCGTGCGCTTTGCCAGGCCCTCCAGAAACCGCAACCCCCGCCCCCGGCCCTCCGCGCGTGCGGGCCTTGCGGCGGGGAGAAGGCGCGGGGTGCGCAGTGATGGTCGGAGGCGAGGCCGGTGCTGCAAACAGTGGTCCTCCGCGCAAGACCTGCACTTGGCGCGATTGGACGCTGTCAGTCGTTGCCGGCAGCCCCGCACGGGGCACTTGGTCCTCCGCTGCGCCGAGGCCGCCTTGCAGTCGCTGCCGCCCACGTGGCGCGCGAGGGCTCTCTCGGCATCCTCGAAGCGCGCCATCCTAAAGCTGGAGGAGCATTTGGGGCAGACCGCGACTGTGACGTCCTTCAAATGGACGTCGGAACACGCGTGCGCCGCGTATGACCGGTGGTCGAGACAAAAGGGGCTGCGGGGACGGGGGAGATGGATGGACGGACACCGCGTGAGACAGTGTCGGGAACGGCCACGTCCGAGAGCAGATGGAGCGGACGGAGCGGATCGTCAACGACTAGAGAAATCGAAACGTCTTAATTGACATGTCCACGCGAACTCGGATTGCTCTGGTCTATGCGACTCGACTGACCTGATGGCACGCATCGCATTTGAAGGGAAGAAAGTCGAGCAGCTGGCAGGAAGACACGGAACAATGGCGACCGGAGATTGGGGAACGCCTCGGTCCCACCGCTGCTGCTCCCAAACGACATTTGATCCGACGAGGCAACAGAGGGATGACGACAGATACGGGGTACAGGAGCGCTACGGGAGGACCAAGGCTGACAGCCGAATTATTAAAGATAGGACGTGCCAGGCAATTACAAACAGGATCAAGGTAACTAAAACAGTGTCTAACGGATTAGTCTGTTAATCGCCAAGGACAGTAGGTTGTGTGCCTTATGCTGCTGAGGATGAGCGTGGTTTGTCTCTGTGACAGCGACGCTCCAATCGTCGCCTGCCACACGCCAGCTGCACTGACGGCGGGGGGTCGAGTGTGCAGCGGGAGTGATTGCGAAGAAGATTCCGAGCGACGGAAACTCACGCGAACGAAACATCGAGAACTTCGGTTGGTGCGACTGTTGTACGCGGTTGGTTACCAAGACTACACCAACACACAAACTATACAAGACAGATGCCTAATGTGTTATCTCTATGGTGTACGCTTTAAACAAGGCCCTAAGCCCACGTCAACCTCAAGAGTCTGCTTCAGCGGGCTCCAGAGGCAGATCTCGGTCTCCCCCTTCGTTTCCTCATGGCGACATTCTCGACTGCCTCGTGAATTGTAGCAAGCCATAGCTGCAGCTGCTCATTCAGTGGGATAGTCACACACGGGTAGGAGAGGAAGGATGTGAAATAAGACGGGAGAAGCAACGCTTACAAATGAAGAATATTCCCTCCTCCCCCCTTCCTCCCCTTAATCGAATTCCCCCCAACCCAATTCAGCACCGCCTCCCCCCTCCTTCCTCACCTTGACTCGGCTGCGAGTGGCGCACTCGAGCCGGAGCCCATAGCCAGTGGTGAGGTGGAACACAAGCCAGTCCTCCGCCTCCTCGCCCGCCTCCATGCCCGCCTCCAGCGACCCTGCTGCCGCCACGCTGTCCAGGGGGATGCTCACCTCGGGCTCCAGATCTGCAGGACGGGGGAGAAGGGTGCCATTGGTGGAGGAGAGATTGGGGTTGAATGTTCCATGGACTTGTGCACACACGGCTGTGGATACACATAAGTGAGGCCTTTTAGAGACCTGATTGTGAGACCCGCCTGAAGCCTGGCAGTAGCAGGAGACCCACCTGAAGCCTGGCGGTAGACGGAGATCCACCTGAAGTCTGGCGTTAGCAGGAGACCCACCTGAAGCCTGGCGGTAGCAGGAGACCTCGTTGTTGGAGAGCGCCACGAAGCGCGGCAGCCACTCGTCCTCCGCCTCGGGGTCGTCCACTGGGATGGCCACCTCGCCGCCCATGGGCGCCCACCGCTGATGGGGGGGGGAGGGGGGGATGGTGATCGATGTAAAGGAATCTGTGCACTCATCACCGGAGAGGCACATGGATGCATGCACTCATCACACGAGAGGCACATGGATGCACTCATCACAAGAGAGGCACATGGATGCACTCATCACAAGAGAGGCACATGGATGCACTCATCACAAGAGAGGCACATGGATGCACTCATCACAAGAGAGGCACATGGATGCACTCATCAGCATGCGAGGCTGGTGTGATTCATGCAGTCAACAGCTCACATTCACATGGTGGCAACTGTGCTAACAATACCATTCATATGTATAGACCAGCATGAATGCACAGGGCTGCAAGCGCACTGCCTGGTGTGCAGGCAACTCCACCAGCATACCTTGCCTGGTGTGGCAGGGCACTCCACCAGCATACCTGCCTGGTGTGCAGGCACTCCACCCAGCATACCTGCCTGGTGTGCAGGCACTCCACCAGCATACCTGCCTGGTGTGCAGGCACTCCACCAGCATACCTGCCTGGTGTGCAGGCTCCACCAGCATACCTGCCTGGTGTGCATGTACTCCACCAGCAGCGACCGCTTGAGCATGTCGTCCAGACGAGTCAGCCTGGCACATGGACACGGCGGTGCGGGGATGGGGCGAGGAGGAAGATGGGGGAGAGATCAAGAGTAAGCCAGTTGATACATGGTAACGAGGTACACGAACGAGTTGGTGACAAGCGTGAGCGCCCATGCGGTACTCACTTGGCCTTGGCAGTCTCCTCCCTCTCCTCCGCTGCTGCTGCCTCGTCACGCACCGAGACTGCCTCCCCTCCCTGCCATGGACGCAGTGGGACACCGGTCAGCCACCAAGCAGTCATGCAAACCAACAGCTGCAACACACAAGAACCCGTGCATCAGCTAGTAAACGCACACGCCCCTGTCCCGACTGCTCCACGCCTCTCCTCCCCTCCACCCCTCCACCCCTCCCTACCTCCCACCCATGCAATGCGTCCCTGTGGCTCCGAGCCCTACCTCAGCAGCAGCAGGGCTGTCTTTCTTAGCTGCCCCGCTGCTCCACCCAAACAGCCACCCACCACCACTGCTGCTGCTATCTGTGCCCTTCGCCAGGCCCCCCCCGCTGCCGCCACCAGCGCTGCCAGCAGCAGCAGTGGCGGGGCGGGCAGGGGGCAGGCGAGATGCCGTGGATTGAGGAGTGTCAGAGGGGTGGTGGTGCTGGGAGAGGGATGATGGGGTGGAGGGGGGGGGAGGAGGGTGGATGGGAAATGGGGGAAGGAAGGTTTATGGATTTTTAGGCATAGGGGAAAGAGAAAAGAGGTTGAAAATGTTGTTGGGTGCGGGGAGCAGAGACGATGACATGCCTCAGATGACTCTTGAGTCGACTCGAGACTCAAAAGTCACCTCGAGACTCTGTTGTAACGTGATTGCAGGAATTGCGTGCTGTTGTGAGCGCGAGACTCAAGTGATGATGCGATCGCAGGGATCATCCTGCTCGCAGCAACATGTCACTCCAGCACCGTGCAGCGTGACTGGAGCCACGCCATGCCACTGACCGCGAGCTGGCAGTGGAGAAGCCGTCCAGGTGCAGTGCGCGGAACTGCCGGGGCGGCACGAACTTGGGCTGCCTGCCTGCTGCTGCTGCTGCCCCGGCTGCTGCTGCTTCAGCCG